ACAATTTAAGCATCCTTGTGAAGATTAATTAATGACTCCCGCAGGAGCAAAACAACAATGACACATGATTTATGAGGGTATATGCATTTCTAATAAATTGTACACTATAGCCAGAGGGTGCAGTGATTGTTGATCTGTGACTCCTTAGAGAATGCTGTTTCCAATGCTCCATATTTTGCAAAACAAACTGTCACCCTCCTTCAGGCAGAGGAAATGTGTAACCTTCCACAGCCACTTACTCTATGTTTTCTCAACTTGAAAATGATAATGTCATAATCAACATGACTTCTGTGTGAGGCAATGGATGTTTTCATCCTCACTTTGAAGATGTTTTATGTAAAGCAGTGTGAGCTCTGCCAAGCATGCCGTTGTATAATGAGAATTTTTTTTTATTTTATTAGAAGTCATAATGAGAGGCTAAGTTAGCTGACTTAGAGCACAAGACATATAGGACTTGGATGTCAGCCTCCAGTCAGGCCTAGGTGAGCAGACACTCATATCCTGTTCCCTGAATATGGGCCTCTTTTCCAATCTCAGAAATTTGTTTTAAATCACATTTGTTTTAATCACATGTTTTAAATGTGATTGTCAGTGGTCAAAAAGAGTGAGAAATAGCAGAGATTTTTAGAAGAACTTCTCAGGGGAAGGTCTTTGAATCACCCTCTACTTTTTTTTCTGCCTTAGCTCTTTGTCATATTTCAGAGCTATGCTCATAGAAAATCTATTTGGAATTCATTATTTATATTTGAAATAATAAAAGAAATCCTTCAAGCTACCACAAAAGATTGTAATATGTTTGACTAATAGTTCACGTTTTCTTCGAGTTTGAGCCCTTTATAAAATGCCCTTAAGGAATGTCAGGCTCTTAATGGAATATTCTGAAGTACTTGATATTCATACAAAATCTGAATTTTATTAAAAAAATACTTTTTATGAAAAAAATTTGTGAAGAACAGATATCCATTTCCATTTGTTGAATTACAGTATTGTGAGTTCTAGGAAATGGGTGAGAATAAACAATCCCTGTTAGTTTGATATCAGAGCTAGTCAACTTGCTAATGATAGATAGGTGGTATGGTACATTGGTCGAGTGACTTTGGTGTCAGTAGGCTTGTGTGACTTTTATTTCTACTTACTTGACAAATTACCAAAGTGTCAGTGTAAATATATGTAATGTGAGGGTATAGTGGACACATATTGTTTCAGTCAGTGTAACATCCATTCAGCTCTCTTCCAGCAACAGCTTCTTGGGTTTTTTTTGGGAACCACCTCCCTTAGACTCGTGCTCATGCTCCCTGCTGCGTGGGCTCAGAGGGAGGCACGTGACCTACGTAAGGCAAAGAGAGCATCAAGGAGCAAGAAACAGTGCTAGGATCTTAGTTGGGATTATTAGAAAATCTATTAGAATGACAAATCTGGAAGGGTGGTTAAATTTTTTTAAGAATTTGCCTCTGATAAAATGGGCATAGTGGAAAACAAAACAAGTATGGAGAATGAGGGAATTCATGCAATATTGTTTAGCCATCTGAATCTGCTATTCTTGAAGCAAAATCACTCCCTTACAATTTTATGAACAAATAGTTCTCACTTTTTTCTTTTTGCAAAAAGAATGCTAAATACACACAGTAATATTAGAATATTTATATTCTTTTTGTAGGAATTTTGTGCATCTCTATAAATAAAAGCCTAAGTGATCACAGACTGTTTGACTGTCTGACCGGTAGCTATGATGTGCAATGACCACCTGAGGGCAGATGCTCTGACAGGTAGCTATGATGTGCAATGACCACCTGAGGGCAGATGCTCAATGCAGGAGCTGCCAGGCTGTGGTGACTTGGCAGCTGTGGTTCTCGGGTAATGCACCCAGAACCAGAGAGGAGGGAGCCCAATTCTGGAGTGCCTCATCTGAGAACTGCCCTCTCACAATGTTTGTCCCCTCGGGGGATATTGGAGAGCCGGTTTCGGCCCAATCCCCCCGCAGGCCAGGCTGAGGGACCCCACCAGTGCATGAATCCGTGCACCAGGCCTCTAGTATAACATATTTGCCATAGTATCTAGAAAGTATGTACTTAAGGGGAATTGTGGGTCTGTTCTCTGTGTCAATCTAAATCAATGGCTGAACCTCATTGACATTGTGACCTAAAGACTGAGGGACCATGACAGTCATCCACAGATTATTTTCCTGCCAGTAAAAAGCAACTTCAGTAAACAGAACAAATTATTTTGAAAAAGTTTGGACCCATCATCCCACAAAACTTTACTGGGATGCATTTATGGAGCACACTCTACATATCAGACATGTATCCATGCTCCTAGGCACCAACCATGCTAAAGCCAGACTCCCCGCTGACAGTATCGGTACCAACTCTGGGACAAACAGCACAGGTTCATAAAATAACATGTACTCATAAAATAACACATAAATAACATTTATCTTTAAAAATCTGCATCACACCAGGACACTCTGAATCACATCTGTCTAAAGGTTTTCACCAGTATCTTTGGAAAGAGGAACTGTAAAAAAATATAATTTATTATTGAAGTCCAGCATATCTTAATAAAAAAAAAAAAACTCCCATCATTTCCAGAAACTTCTGCATTTAGAGTACCTTTAATTTTATTATATTTAGATCTGGACCAGGAGGCAGAGATCCTATCTGACTATTTCAGATCAATGTTCTGGCTCCCAGAGGGGGCACACCTGGGTAAGCAGCACCCTTTGAACAATGTTATATTACAAAGACCCAGCCATCTGCGTCTGTTACACCTTCTGTAGACATTTGCATGTAGAAGTGTATGGACTCATCGGTATCTATCTCAATATTCCTGTACAATACTTATTTAACGTGGAGAATTCAACTTCACAAATGGCATAAAAAACTGCATCTTTGAGAGTCTTATAATAGAGCTGTTAACATATTAGCAATCTGTTAGCAGTCTGGACTGTCATGAGCAAGAACCTACGCACAGTATGAGCCATCGTTTATTTCGGGGCACACCAAGAATGCACAGCATTTATTTTAATAAACTAAGACATAAAAAGGCCACGTTGAGATGCACCAAATGGGGTACTGAGAGACAACAAAAGGATAACTCTTTATAAGGACAGAGGACAGACTGGGAGCCTGCAGTTTGTTTTTAATTATCAAAAAAATAGGCAAGCCTTTCTCTTGGTCACTCAGGAAAAAAAAGTCTCAATCTCTGTGTTACCTTTTCTTAGTGGTGATTGGTTGATGCCATTATTTACAATCCACAGAGATTGTTTTCCAGAGAGATACTCTGTTTGAAACATGGCACCGTATGCTCTTAGCTAGTTGCTAAACACAGTTATTTTTATTCCTCTGTGGTGATAGGGAGGTTAGTCTGCACGCACGAATGCGTGATTCCAGGAAGACATTCTATTTACAGTGAATGTGCATGTGCCAGGGTGAAAACTGGGCATTTCCTGCTGAACATCACTGACGTTATCTGATCTCTGACAGTTGATATTGGGAAGGAGAGAATCCCATAATTCAGTTATGCATACGGCACATAGAACTCTGTGGTACTTGCAAAAGGATTACATATTTTAAGTGGCTTCCTCCAAACTCCAAATGTGATGGAATTTTTCTAAGAGAATGGCCATCACAGATGAGAAGCGATTTCAGGCATAGCGGCTTGCTCCAGAGGCAGGACCAAAGTAAGAGGCATCAATATTACCAAAATCTGCTGAAAATTGTGGAGCAGAGGGCTCCACTGATTTTCACGCAGGAAAAGTAATTTTTCTGTTTGCTTTTCACGGCATTGTAGAAGTAAAAAAGTAAGTTAATTTTTCCCCTTTCTTCTGAGTAGTTTCTGTTTTGCAGAAACCCATAATAAGACATTGCCCACAACCACACCTGACTGTTTTCCCAATAATCACGTATTGATTCCATTTTCTCTGATTGATATGAAATGTGGGTGAACTTTAGGATGAGTCATGAAGAGATGGAGCAGGCAGTGGGAATGCTTTGGTTTGCAAACTGGTCTCCATATACACAGAGGGCAAGGGGAGACTGAAGAAAGAGGCAGACCACCCCAGGTTGGTAGATGGCAGTTTTAATAAGCAAAGGTTTGTCTTGAGTGGCAGTAGATGTGTAGACCTCCACACCTGCCCACCAAAACCTTAAAAGTAGATATAGAGGCATTAAAGGAGTTTAATCATATATGCAGTCCAAATGGTGTCAACGACACCTTACTCTCAAGGTTCCGTCCTGGAAGCAGCTCCAGTGTGGAAAAGCGGGGGAGGATGCGTTGTACATTCCAAGGACAGCAGGGTGAAGAAGCTTCTGGCTGCCCAGGTCCAGTCTGAGAGCCAACCACAGTCATGGCCTCCTAATAACCTCCTCCAACAAGTGTTCCAAGTTCACAAGGCATGAGGAAAAGAACAGAGTTTCATAGATGATAAGGGCTAGAGTTCAAAAGAGTGTACTTGTGAGATTTCAAAATGAGATGCGGGTATCTGGGACTGCCGTCCTACCGAGCTCTGCAGTGACCAGAGAAAGTAATGGTGAGCTCAAATGGTCCGTCCGCTGGTGCGTAACTTCTGGCCTCCAGTCTTTTTCAGGGAGCTGTTGCATGGAAGGGGTAAATTAATTTCAGAAGCATAAGATACAAAGAACACTTAGTCCATGTAAGAGTGCTAGGGACACAGCCGTGGGTAAGGAAACACCATGCTTGTTCATGGAGCTTAAAGACTCAGTCTAGTTCTTATTGATGAGGTATTTGTTTCTCCTAAGAAATGCTGTGGTCATAGAGTTGATCACAGTGGCAATGATATCAGATTTTGTGCTTGTTTTAAATAAGTCAAATGGTCGGCAATAAAGGACTTTATTTTGCTCTTTCACAAATTCATCACGAAAATGTGCTGATCAAACATTTTAGGCAAATGTGTAGATTTTTAGATTATATAAAGTGATTTATTTTCTGGAACTATATTTAATCTTCTGGAAATAAATCGAGAAGATGACTGTTTCGATTGGCAGGACTAGCTGCTCATTCATCTCTGTTGTCAACATTTCAAAAAAGAAGAAAGTAAAGAAAAGAAAGAAAAGACTCCTAGAGGTACTTTGTAGAAATTTATCCCCTTTCCTTAATGTGGTCAATAGCTACAGCTTTATTTAACTGTGGCTATTGGCCTAATTAAACCAATTAAACTACCCTTGTAGTTCTTATTTCTCTAAGAAATTCTTTTCACTTTATATTCCACATTTCTGTAGCATTTTTGCTACTTAGATGAAGTTTTTGGCTTGTTTTTTTTTTTTTTTTTTTTTTTTGACTATTTGAACCTTTTGAAACTACTAATATAGTTCCCAGAGATAACCAGAATTTTTATTATAAAAATATAAATCAGAGAAATATGTACCTGTTTTAAAAGCACACAACAAATAAATGTTTTAAAAACACATTTGTTGTTATATTCTATTATATAATTGTAATTTCTAATTTCAGAATATCAAAAACAATAACTGTTTCTATCATATTAAGTCATGAAGCTTATACAAATAGTGAATTTTGAAACTTGTCAAAATCATTTCTCAGTCTTTCTTTCTATTGGAAAAATTGGTGTTAAACCTTTCCGGGAGAAGCAGGTAGCCCACACAGGCCCTCTTATGTACAGCTGCTTAGCTAGCTTTTTTTTGTTTAGACATCTATGAGGACACTGCTTTAGAAGGAACTAAGAAGAATAATTTAGCAATTATGTGAGAAAATGGAATTAGTCCAGTGAAACTTGTGAAAAAAACAAACAAACAAAAAAACAACAATAAACTTAATTGGAGCCCCAGAAGACAGAAAATAGATATGCCCTGTTACAGTAATATCCCAGCTTTTTTTTTTTGTTTTTTTGTTTGTATTTTTTTTTGTTTGTTTGTTTGTTTTTTGTTAAGGTGTAGGTGTTAATAAAAGAGTCTCCACTGAGTGTAGGGACATCCACTTCATTGAACTGATAATGGCATTCACACTGGCTACAGGGCACAATGTATGAAGATATCTTGCCATTTACCAGCTGCATAATCTTGGTTAAATTACTTAAGTTCTTTTTACTGAATTAATTAAAAATGGGTGTAATAACAAAATCTACTTCATGGGGTTATTATACAGATTAAATAACTTGATATTGTAAAGCACTAAAACATAAACATTTTAGAAGCACCTCATTGTTGTTGTGCTGTACAAAAGTATTACAGAGGCAACAGAATAAAGCAATATAGTGCCTCAGTGCTTAGTGCACACCAGTCTTAATTAAATATTAGGTCCGCACTCCCAATTCCCTTTTCCCATATGAGAAAAGAAATGGCATAGGCAATTTTCTTCAAAATGAATGAATGTGCTCTCTGGTTTTCACACTGCCTAGGATTAAGTCCTGCCTACTGTGCACTCATGTGATCTTAGGCAAGGACCTTACACCGCACTGGGCTTCATTTTCCTCATTGGTAAAATAATAGTACTTTACACAGGGAGTTTACTGTGAGGGTTAAACAAAATAATGGATGATAAGAGCTTAGCCATTACATTGCCACTATAAATTTCTAATGATGTTGTTTTTATTATTGTTGGTATGTTACAAGTAGACAGTTGAATAAAATATTAAGTTCATGTATGACAGAAGGGTAGCTTTTTCACCTTAGTTAGACTGGTTTAATTGTTTTATGTCCTTCTGAGTTAAAGAATGGTTTCCCAACATTTTTCATTGTTGACACACTTATGAATTTAGTGAATAGTGTGGAAGAACTAAGTAAAATGAATGTAAAAACAATCTAAAAAGTAAGAAATGATTTCTTCCCTGCTCCCTAAGGTCTGATATCATTACAGACATACCTCGTTTTATTGCACTTAATAGATGCTGTTTTGATTTTTACAAGTTGAAAGTGAGACCCGCCATGACTTGCTTTTTTGCGATACTCATTTTATTGTGATGGTCTAGAACCAAACCTGCAATATCTCAGAGGTATGCCTGTATATTTAGAAATATACTGATAAAGGGTATTTAATTACCTACGTAATTTTCCTACTGGTTGAAACAAGCACTTTCCATACTATAATATGTATCACAATGAGCTTCTGAAATTTTGCCCTCAGATTACAGAGCTGATGGAGGAAGAGCTGTGAAGACCAAAATGACATCAGGTAAAGATATTTAAGGCATGCAATGTAGCTGGTAAGGGGGCGGGGGAGGGGGGTGGTGCCTAACAAAATCTGGGCTGGAAAAGAGTTTGATTGTTTTACTTTCATGAAAAATGTGGCTTGAAAAGGAATGGAAAATGTGTCCTTCTTCCTTTACTATTTTTTATTTCAGTATTGAAATATCTCAATTCCCTAGATAATAAAATATGGGCACAGATGGTAGATGACTGTCCACAGGCAATATTGCTTTTCAGCACCATTAGCATTTAAGTTTACACTGAAATAGCAGGTGGGATTTTGGCTGAAGGGCACTGCTAAGTCCTGAAAAATGGAGAAGCGCTTTGAAGAACAGCACCCCAAGTTGTACCCCATTATTGAATGATAATGGCAATTACTGTAAGTTAATTCCAAAAATTAAAGAAACACCTGTTTTCTTTCAAGTGTGGCTAGAATATGCAGCATTTTTCAAAGATGCTCCAAGTCCTTTGTTATTTGCCTCAGGTTGTACATGCGCCACTTGCCCGCCCTTTGCAAATTCTGAAGTAGGTCTCTGACATGCAGTCACCGGCATACAACGGTGTGCGTCCACTGCCTAATTGTTCTGTCCTCCAAACCAAAGTGGAGCAGCCTTCTCTAGTGTCCTGGAGTTCTGAAAATTATATGCTTTATTTTAAAAACACAATGAGAATGCCGCTCTTTCTGTATTTCTCTCCACAGGGAGGCCATTTCATTAAGTTTGCTTTGGTGGATGCTTTGAAATGTCTGGTCATTATAATTCAGTCACCCAAAGCCTTTCACTGAAAAATTCTAGTTATGGAATAATGTTGATGCCATAGCAACAAAATTAGGAAAGCTGTTTTTTCTCATTGGGAAATGGAGTAAATGGGTGTGCAACTGGGAAGAGGGAAAGGGCAAGGGAATGAGCCACACTAGGTCATAGTAACTCATTATGCTGTTGATAATATCTTCTTAGTTATGCAGGGGTTATTAATTTTTATTAAGTACTAAAAATGGGACATTGAAATTACTGAACTCCAGTTGTTTGGTGAGTGATATAAAAATTAAAAAGTAACTAACCGTTTTAAAAGGCTGACTGTAAAGGAGAAAAAATAATTTTATTCTACTCTTCTGAGTTCTTAGCTGAGACCCCTGTAATAAAAGAAAGATTAACAAAGACAAACAAACAGAAGTATATTATTTTGTAAACCTCCTTATAGGAGATATCCAGGGGAAAATTAGTAACTCCCCAGGGTGGTCTAGAATTTATTATTTAAAACTTTTTTTAAATTAATCCTCACCTGAGGGTATTTTTCCATTGACTTTTAGAGAGAGAGAGAGAGGAAAGGAGGGGGAGAGACAGAGAAAGGAGGGACAGAGAAAGAAACATGATGTGAGAGAGACACATAAATTGGTTGCCTCCTGCATGTGTCCTGACCAGGGCCAGGGATCAAGCCTGTAGCCAAGGTACATGCTCTTGACTAGAATCGAACCTGGGACCCTCCAGTCTGCAGGCCAACACTCTATCCACCGAGTCAAACCAGCTAGGGCTAGAATTTATTATTAAATAACATCTTAATAGGGAAAGGGAGGAGGAATGTAGGCCTCTTAGGGAAAGAGAGTAAATGATTTTAGGAAAGACTAATGGGCCTTTAGGAGAATAGGTGGGAAGTATAATAGTTTGTGACAGAGTTTTTGTCTGGGTGTGGTGTCAACTTCTAGTCTCCTCCTGTGATAAGAGTTAATCTTCTTTGATTGATGAAATTCCAGGGAGGGGATTTATGAGAGTTGAATTCCTTTTGGAGGCTCTAGAGCAGTGATGGCAAACCTATGACACGCGTGTCAGAGGTGACACACAAACTCATTTTTTTGGTTGATTTTTCTTTGTTAAATGGCATCTAAATATATAAAATAAATATCAAAAATATAAATCTTTGTTTTATTATGGTTTCAAATATCAAAAAATTTCTGTATGTGACACGGCACCAGAGTTAAGTTAGGGTTTTTCAAAATGCTGACACGCCGAGCTCAAAAGGTTTGCCATCACTGCTCTAGAGCATCTTTAGGCAGATAAGGGGAGTTCAGAGAAAACCTATCCCTGTATTTGCTGTTTTTAAAGGATCTACAGCTCAAAGTAATCAATATACCAAAGTGGCATATTTGGGGGTGGCATGGCCTGAATTCCTACAGTTATATTTTGGAGTAGTATATTCTGCTACTCCTCTCTGATCATTGGCAAGATCTTGTGCTTAGGACAGTATTTAATTCCCTTCATTTAATGTTTACAGTTGTCTGTGATGTAGGGTTTTCATGAACATTCAATGGGCTAGTGCCTATAAAATACTTGCAATTAATGGTTTCTGACACATAGTAATTATGCAACAAATGTAGTATTATTCTTTTTCTTGTTTATTGTTATTATGTGAAACTTGAGCACACATGAGCATACTATATATGGTTATAAATACCTGCAATAGTCACAACAATAAAAAATTCAAACATATTTGATAATTGCATTTGAAATATAAATAGACTCCAGGGAAGTATGTTTGACCTGGACCCTTCAGTTGTATCCACTTATTATGTACCAATCACTGTGATTAGAAATAGGAGGACTTTTTTTTTTTTTAAAGTGGTCTTTGACTAGTACGTACTAGTAATTAAATTAATTGGGAAGATGCCCTAAGCTTGCAAAAACAATTACAGAATAATAGCTATTGAAGTATAGCCAAATGCTAAACAATAAGAGATAGGCAATATGACTTAAAGTAGAGTTTAGAAAATTTTCCTTGAAAAAATAATACTTGCTTGGGTCTTCAAGTTCGATGAGAATTTAGGTGATTTCATTTTAAAGGGAAGAAATAAAAAATCGAACTGTAAGCAACTCCCAAAAGTTCTTTTTCTCCACTGTGAATAGTGGGAGATGAGTTCTTAGAGATGCTTAATTCTATCTAAAAATCATTATATAATTTATTGCCAAAAGTACTCTGCAAATGGATGGCTCATCACACATATAATTTCATACATTTCTGGCTTCCCCATGCTTCTCCTCCTTCACCTCCCACTCCCACCCTCTGCCCTCCCCAAAGAAAGATGAAGATGGGATCAAGTACATATATGGCAAATCAAGTACTACTGTATGGACCTCAGTTTTCTCACTTGTACAATCAGGGTAACAATCAGACGTATCTCACTGTTATCAGAAGGATTATATGGCATAATATGTGCAAAAATCTTAAGTGGCTGGAATCCAATAAAATATTAACAATGATTATTATTATTATTATTATATAGTACTTATAAATTTAAGAAAGACAGAGCCTCTGATGTTTGATACGGTGATGCGCCCATAATTTGAAGCTAAAATGTGCCCTATTTTCCTAGAGGTCCTAAAATCGGCAAATGCTGTATCCTACTCCAGTGCAGTCTTGCAGAGCACTCTACTTAATGTTACAGAAAGATGTGCTAAATTTAGCTGCCACAGCTGGATATGTATTAATGTAAGCATTTCATACACACACACTAAGTTTTGTGGAGATCAAAAATGGCATAATGCAATCTATAGCCATTAAAAAGCATTAAATGGCATAAAGCAATCCATAGCCTTTTAGATATATAAAATGATTGATGAATTTTGAGAACAAGACTGTATGTAATAAATTGTGAATTTTGTGCAACAGAAATCTAGAAAATAGCCTGCTAATAACCAAAGTTTACTTTTGAGATTGAAAATGATATTTAAAGTGGCTCAGCAAGAGAGACTAATGGTGGCTAAAATAACCTAAGAAGCCTTCATGAGGAACTGGGTCTAATTTGGGCTTTGATGCACAATTGATAGCAATGGGGGTGGCAATTTCAGAAAGGAGAAATGGTCCCCAATAAGGATTAGAGGAACCATGGCCATACTGAAAAAAAGCGAGACATTGATAATCATCCATCTCCAAGGGGAGCTGGGGAGAGGCGATATCTAGGAATGTTTTCCATTTCTGGAAATTTTGTTCACACTCCCTAACTACCCCAAATAAGAACAGGATGAGCATTCAGTAAATGGCCTGCAAAACTGTGTGCTGTTATCTTTGTCACAACTTTGGCTCTTCAATTTATGGGCACTGTACTTGGACTTTCAGTGAAAGGAAAGCAAGTGAAGTAAAAAAACAAAATAAATTTGGTTTAATCTTAAGCCAACCATGCCTTCTTATGTCTTTTCTGAAGATGTCTAGGGTTCTTTTCTACTAATAGTATATATCTAATTTGTTCAGAAGGTTTGTGCTGGAGAAAACATATTGATGAAGAGTAAAATGCAGATGTTCATTAATTAGGTATGTATTAACTACTTATAGTAGACTACTTGCTGTGCCTCAAGGGATTGAGGGAGAGATTAAAGAGGTTTTATTTTATATCAATATTTCCTGTTTTCTTAAGTTTTAGAATAAGGCCAAGCAATATTATTTTGTAAGTGTTTCAATCTAGGTTGGATAAAACATCATCATTTTCTCAAACTTAGTCATTTTTACTATCCAACTGAAGGCATATATATGGATAGTGTCCTGAAAACCAAGTGAAGAAAGTATTCAATGAGAATGGTTGAAATGTTAAATGTGCAGAAAGCTCAACAATGTTGAAATCTAAGGATTTAACATTCTGTTTGATTAAAAAATGAGTGTCATTGGTTGCTTTGACAATAGCACTTGTAATGAAGAGTTGACAACAAACTGATTGGAGGGGATCAATAGAGAATCTATAAAGAGGCATTGAAAGAGGGAGCTTATAAGACTTTCAGAGAGTTTTGATGTAATGGAGAATACGTTGTTACTTGGAGGGTGAAATGAGGTCAGGATAGGGGTTTTTTGCACGGTGGAAGAAATTACAATGTATATGTAAGCTGAGGAAGATATCTAGAAGAGAGTAGAAATCGTGTTGGAATGATGCGAGGAAATTGCTGGGTCCATGTCCTTGAATAGGCAAAAGAATAGGATCTAGTGCTTAAGGTAGGGTTAGCTTTCATATGAATAGTCAGCTCTTTTGTAATCACAGGAAGAAACAGGAGGAGTGTGTGGGTTCCAGTCGCCTCTGTTCCATGATTGTGAGTCATTCTTCTGTTTTACATGTTATGTAACTTTCAGTGGACTTTTTGTGCTCTCTGTGTCCCAGCGTACCTTCCAAGACACAGATCAAAGTTTCTTCCTTTAGAATCTTTCTTCAGTATGAATAACTCACACTTTTTTGGGAGTCTTTCTTGAATTCTAATAACATATAGTAATTGATACAACATATTTCAGTATTTAACATAAAATAACATCTTGTTTTGTCCTCTGTGTCTAGGTTAAAAACTGAAAAGCACTATCATGTATGCACACAACTACCTTGTAAACTCATACGCATTTTTAAGACCCCACTTATGTTACTGTTTTTCTGAGATGTCTCCTGTGACTTCCCAAGTTAAATCATCCCTTCCTTTGGACTAGCATATTTAGTCCATATTTTTAGAAGACCAAATCCATCGCAGATATTTTTGTTGATCTCCCCTATTGAATCTTTAGGATAGGGATTGTATCTTATTTGTATTTGCATTCCCGGCTGTAAGCAGATCATCTTATACATCAAAGGTACAGAATTTATGAATGAAAAAATAAAACAAAATGCTAGTATTATGTTTAGTATGTGAGTATGTATTGATTGGATCAAAGTAAATTATTGCTCCCTACAATTTGAAATTATGACTAAAAGTAGTGATTTAATTTCCTAAGAAATTATTAGATGGGATTAAGACACAGGAAGGAGGATGATTTTTTTTTAATATATTTTATTGATTTTTTACAGAGAGGAAGGGAGAGGGATAGAGTGTTAGAAACATCGATGAGAGAGAAACATCGATCAGCTGCCTCCTGCACACCTCCTACTGGGGATGTGCCCGCAACCAAGGTACATGCCCTTGACTGGAATCGAACCTGGGACCCTTGAGTCCGCAGACCGACGCTCCATCCACTGAGCCAAACCAGTCAGGGCAGGAAGGAGGATGATTTATCTCTGATATGAAGCAGAGTATTTGTATTCTTGTTTATTATGGTAAATATAAGTTGTTAATGATGGTCTCAGTCTAGGAACATGCCATCTTTGGGCATTTACAAATAGCATTTTATATTCATTGATATTTATGTTTTCTGTTTTCCTATACAGTTCTTTTCTTTACATGGCCCTCCAGTTTCCCTCATTTTAATAGTTGATCCTCTATCTCAATTTTCCTTTGTTAATTTCATTGAATCACACACTTGACAAAAGTTTATTGTTACTGCCTGCGTTATAGTGGTGTCATTATGTTATTTCTGGGCTAATATGTTGCCTATCTCATTTAATCACATGTTAAAAATTTTTAAAGAAATTAGAAAAGGAAAAAAAGGAAATAAAATCACAAGTAGGTACTATCTTGTTTGCCAGTGTAATTCTTCGGATAGAGGATTGTTAGTTGAGAAGATTTGTGAGGCAGCTTCTGCCTCAGTGGGAAAGTTTATTGAGATAATTTATATTCGTCATACAAGACAACTCTAAAAGCCTTCTTTCAGCTCTAATGAACTACACTTTGGAGACTTTTGGAGCCAGCTTCTCTAACTCTTTGCTTTTCTGGAAAAACTTTATTTTAACACTAGGGGCCAGTGCACGAATTTGTGCACCTTGAAAGGAACTGTGGGCTGCGAGGCTGCAGTGGGCACAGGGGTGGGTCTTGGCCCATCCTCTGTGCCCCTGCCCGGCCCCTCCTGCTGCGGCCCCCGGTTCCCTCTCTGCGGGCAGCCCTGCTCCCACTACCACCACTCCCATGTGCTGAAGGTGCCAGCTCCACTCGCACCTACTGATAGCATGGAGTGATTGGGGCCTGCACCAGCAGTGGGTGGGAGCAGGGCCAACACTGTCAGTGGGTGCGAGTGGCGGCTGCTGCCCTGATCGCCCCTCAGGAGCAGGAGGAGGTGGAGAAGCCCTCAGGGGCGATCAGGGTCAGCAGCTACCACTTGCACCCACTGATGGTGCCAAGCAATCGGGACCAGTGCTGGGTGCCAGCAGCAGGTGCAAACAGGGCTGGCGCTGGCAGTGGGTGTGAGAGCTGGGTGGGACTGCGGTGTGCAGGAGTAAAGAATTTTCAGTAACCACCAGAGGCTCGCCCCGATGACAGCAAGTGGTGCCCTGCCTTGGTCTGGCGCCCCTGCTCATCTGCTCCACCATCCTACCACGGCAGACGCCTGCCATGTTCCGCGCACGCCCCCTGGTGGTCAGTGCACAGCATAGTGACTGGTTGTTTGGTTGTTCCGGTTGTTCTGCCGTTTGGTCTATTTGCGTATTAGCCTTTTATTCTATAGGATAGGATATTGGTTCAGATGTCATTAATTAAAATCAAAATTGCAACATCCCTATCCACACTTTTCTCATCCCCACCATTCTGGCTCAATCACCACATTCTTTTAAGATTCCTTTAATAAATAATGAATGGCATTTATTTTTCTGTGCTTAAATAGGATTGATCTAGCTCAGTACTTGGCATAGTTTATACTTTACCCATATTTTTAATGAATGAATAAGTATTGCATGGATGTATGGATAAATGCATGAATGGATAGATGGTGAATATGGATGTATGTGGATGGCTCAGATCCACTATCTTTCACTATGAACTTAACATATGTAAAATTATTAAGTTGTGGGTTTTTTAGAATTAGAATAAAACAGGATACTTATTAGCTTTCATAAAAAATAATTTTAGCCTGGCCAGTGTTGCTCAGTGGTTGAGCATCTACCTGTGAACCAGGAGATCGAGGTTCGATTCTGGTCAGGGCACATGCCCAGGTGTGGCTCCATCCCGAGTGTGGGGTGTGCAGGATTCAGCCGATAAATGATTCTCTCTCATCATTGATGTTTCTATCTCTCTCTCCCTCTCCTTTCTCTCTGAAATAAATAAAAATATTTTAAAAATGGTTTTAACTATTATCAAGGTGTCATTGAATAGATATACCATAGAATCTATACTGTAAGACAAACATGGTAAAGGTGCTTTATCCATGTGTCAATTCTGTTCCTCACAATAGTCATGCAATGTAAATAGTATAATCTTTATTTTGAAATTGGGGAATCTGAGACTTGGTAAAGTCAATCGAGCCTGTTAAGATCCTATAGCTAATGTGAGGGAGAACTGAGCATTAAAGCTAGAACTGTCTGACTCCAATACCATTGTTCTTTCCAGTCACACATGATGCAAAACTGCCTTGCTGCTCTGTGAGTAACTGGTTCTGGTTGCTTATTTTGTGATACTTTCACAAAGTACCTTATTCTTAGAGAATTCTAGCTAGTATATTAGCTGATGAGTTTGAGTTACTGCTTCTTTTGGATAAATTTGTATATGAATCAAAGATCTTTCATACTAAAACAACTTTAAGGAACTAAATGTACACTTTAATTCCCATGACATTGTCTTCATCATAATTTGTGTTGTGTCAAACATTTCAACTCTCCACAGCTGTCAAAAAAATATAGTTTACATTTATATCGAATAATGCCACCATCCTCTGTGACAGGAGAATTTCTCTAGCAGACACCTTGTGAAAAGGTATGTTCTTTACTATGCAAGATTTGGCTATCTATACATACTTACCAGTCCATTCTGGGACTGTGTGGTTTTTTTTTTTATTTTTTATTACAACTGAGCCAATCTGTCAAACCCTCTTCCAATTTGAGATCATTCCTTCATCAATGATGGTGAAAGCTTATTTGATAGAAAATATAAAATGGTATATAGAATACCTAAAAAGAAATGAATACTGTATTGGATACATTTGATATACTAAAAAGAAAATCTTAAAGTATGGATGTGTGTCATTTGAAGGTTTGGAATCTTAGGTTTGAACAATGAAGGGTTTTATTCTTCTTACTATGCAGCTGCTTCTGAAGAAAGCCTGACTGTATTTAAAAACAGCAGCAATGAAATAAGCCAGTTAGAGAAAGACAAATACCATATGGTTTCACTTACATGTGGAAGCTAATAAAAAATAAATTAACAAAATAGAAACAGACTCGTAGATACAGAGAACAGACTGATAACTGTCTGGGGGTGGGGAGTGGGGGCTGGATGAAATAGGTGAAGGGATTAAGACAAACAACAACTCATAGACCCAGACATAAGTATGGTGATTACCAGAGAGATGGGGGAGAGGGGGAAGGTAGGAGAAGGTAAAGGGGAGAATAAATGGTGACGATGACAGAGGAGACTAGACTATAGGTGGTGAGCACAGAATATAGTACACAGCTGATGTATTATAGAATTATACACTTGAAACCTATT